CAGACGTAGGAAGCAGGAGGCAGGACATCCCCCCTGCAGGCTCTCGGACACTAGGTGCTGCTTCCAGCTCTACCGCTCCTTAGTCAAGGTTCGCTCAGGGGGGAGAGGGCTAGGGGAAGACAATGGAGTTCAGTGATGAATTACCATACGAGTGATTTAGAAGACTGGTCTTCCACCTGGATGGCAGGTTTGAAGTGATTTTGCCTTGATGGGAGAACAGGAAAACATGTCTAAGACCAGAGGGTCTTCAGCTTTGACCATCGCCAAGATGGAAAAGCAGAAGAACCCATATACATGCATTAAAGAAACTGCTGTGTTTAGGCACATGGATCCTCAGTAAGTCGGCAGTAGTTTTACCTTTTCTTGGGTTCTTTGAAGAGGGAATCTCTTTCTAGATAACAGATTAGGCTGCGCAAGACCTCAGCATTTCCTGGCATCAGATTTAGGAATGTCAGGAATCAGCAGTGTCAGTGTCACGTTTCAGTTGCAGGGCCAGAGCCCTCCATACCCTGGAGAGGACCGCCAGACTACCTCATCACCTCTTTCTCAGATCTGAAGGATGGCTTCTGTACTTCATCTTGGACTATGTTCTGCTACCATTTTGAAGACCCAGATCCAGTAAAACATTCCTACCCTGTGCAGCTTTTCATGTGTTTTGCCATCTCAAGGCTTTACTCTTGGAGAATCTCTTTCCAGTGTAGTCATAGTACTTGACAACAGGCTTAAGTCATCCCCACGCCACCCAGAATAGGCCACGTAACTCCGAACAGCTGGAAATAAGACCACTCTAATGCTTCATGCAACACTGACAAAGGATTGTCTTACTACTCCACTCCAACAAGCCCAAGCCAGCATAGCACAGTGCAAGCCCACATGGCCATCCCAATATGATGGAGTTCTCACACGACCAAAACAATGATCTGCAGTACCAGACACATGCTAGTGCCGTGCCGTAAGAACACAGCCCATTGCTGTGTCATTAGATACCTCAACAGACAGGAATTGCCTTGTTTGTGCTGGCGTTTTTCCACAGCACCTAACTGAAATGTCTTGCAGTGAACACAGCAGCTGCCAGGCCAAAACCTGCTGAGGGAAAGGGGGGCTGCTACCGCTAAAAGGGTTTCCAGCCTTGCCTGCAGAGCTCGTTGCCTTCCTCTGCTCCCAGGACTGCTGCTGTTACTTCTTGAGTCAGATCGCAGAAGTATTCTGGGGTAAAACCTAATTCTCAGGTATGAGGTTAGATCAGTTTCCAGCTGAAACCGTTCTGCAACAGCGCATAGCACCATCAGGGTACAGCTGCTGATCTGTCAGTGCCATACAGCAGCATGAGCTGATCTTTAAACTCAGATAATTAGGGTGGTATTACCCAGCAATATGTGACACTGACAGCCCCCCCCCGCCCCGCTTTTATTCATGTTTTCCTCTACCCAAGACCTCCCTCGTGCAAATGGGCATGCTTTCAGGACAGTAATGGCTGTTGGCACTGCAGGGTTCACTCTGATGTAACAGCAATTCTGATGAAAATCTGGTATTATCAACATCCAGCTTCAACAGAGAAAACACAACTCATTCGTTTAGCAACTACAACAATTTGTTACTGGTAGACTTACTGGTGAGATCTCTAAACCAGGCTGAACAGTTTAAACTGTGACCTGTCATCATGGCAGGTACCATCCACGGGAGGGAGTGATGGCGGAGAAAATAGCCCATCCAACACTGGTGGGGTTGCTTCATCCAGAAGGGAGGGAACAGTGGAGGCAGACGTTGGATTCAACCAGCAGCATTCAGAGTTGCACACCCTGTTACTCCCCAACCTCACAAACTACCTCTGCAGTGGGATGTGAGCAGCTGTCCCCATTAGCGTGATGCCATACAGGTCACAGTCACAGTTGCATCAGGTGGAGGGACCCTTCACTTGCACAGCCCTAAGAACAATGTATCAGAAACGCCAGGACAACAATGTTTTTTGTAAAGATATAATGAAATCATATGAAAAGTTACAGTTCAGAGTCCACTGGGATTCCTTGGCTTTTAGTTACTGGAGAAGATGCAGTTTCCACTGTAGATTTTTATTGAGTTTTGGTGGAATAAGTAATTCTGCATCTGAAAGGCAAACAGGACAAGTGTCAGAACAGAGGGTAACAGCAATATGGTTTCTTCAGGAACTGTCAACTACTTAGTTTACTTTTCTTTACATCAAAGGACGCTGAGAAATCTCTGACACATAGCACTTCCCTTTAGAGACCGTTCATCAGCCTGCATGGAAGAGTGCCCCCAGCAGAACTGCTTACAGAAATAAATCTCTGGGGCAAATCAAGCCCCCTCTCCATTAACTGTTACTGTTCAGAACAAGGAGGCAACAATCAATGGCAGAAAGCAGAACTCCCTTCATTCACCAATAACTGGGATATCATACACAACAGCCAGCTGCCTCTGTTAAATGTGAACAAGAGGCACAAGGTTTTCTCTGGAGCCAGCCCCGGCAAGTAGCAACAGGCAGGTAGCATTAGAGGTGTATTAGAGGATTTCTCCAGGCAATTCCAGGACTAGGAGGGGAAGAGACTGTAGGACTAGTGGGGAAGAGGGAAGACAGAGGGGAGATGGGACCAGCCCTTGCTAGGCCTCTAAGTCCTAAGTTTGTATTAGCTGCAAGGACTTCAGGATGCCAAAGCACCACGACAGACTGTACCCTGGCCTGGTCAAGAGCCTGGCATGGCTGCCAAAGCCAGACAGAAAAATTCAGTGGGTAAGTTACAAGCAGAATTATCTAACACATTCCCTAAGAATTCAGACTTCCAATTCCCTCACAACAGACAGACACTAAACACACAGGAAGCCAGGAGCATGATTCAGACAGTAGTTTTAGCACAGAACTTCAGAGCAAATAAAACCTTATTAAGAGGGCTGCTCACTTGCCACAATGCAGGAGGGTACACCATAAACAAAAGCAAGAAACTCCTACAACTGAATAAATGCTACAACTGTTGGCAGGCAGCAATGCTTGGACAGCCCCAAAGCCCACTGACCTCACTGACATTTCACACCCACATCTAACTCCAAGACTCAACTAACCTTGTACAACTGGAGTCATCATTCTCTTCTGCTGATAGGCAGCCATGATGCTGTTTGCAGTTGAATTGGGTCCCAGGACCTGTATGAAGAAGCAATACCCATGTTCCAACCTGCACAAAGCAAGGCTAAGAGCAGGGATACCTACGAAGAAAACTCTGCTGTTAGTCTCCAAAAGCAGAAACATCTGCCTGCAGGAGACCTCACAGTATAAAGTGACCAGGAACATGCGATCAAAGCCCAGCTATGTCTCAGAAAAGTTAACACAGAGGCAGAAAGAGAGAATGGCTTTCAGACAGGTTCTCAGGACACAGAACCCTTATCCCAGCACCTACTTTTTCACAGCATTGTAAGTGTCATGACTTGGCAGGACCACTTTCCTGCCAGTGAATATTACAGTGCCAGCAACATTTAAAGTTCATTTGAGAGTCTCAGCTCCCTGTCACATAGAACAGTTTTAATCTGTCCTTAGAGTCCTGCTAATCAGTAGTTAGGGAGAATATACTGGAGAATATCTTGTGTTCACCATGAACGCTCAGAAACTACTTATTAGAAATAGACTTTTACTTTGAAGGGAACTAAGTGCAGTCCTCATGATTTCCTTATTTTGCATGAAGCTAAAGCTTAGAAGCCTGACATAACCCTTCTTTTTGCAATATACTCTTTATGATATACTGGTTCAGACTAAATTGACCAGTCTGGTAGCTTTTCACTTCACAACACCGGGTCGGGCAACCACTATTCCAGTACATAAAAGCTATGCTAACATTTCAACCATCAGGCCTAAAAAGAAAACAGTGTTCCTATGTTCTACAAATTGCTTAAGATAGAGCTTACAAAAAGAAGTCACCACTAGGACAAGGTAACACAAGCCTTATGAGACCTCATCATGTCCAGCGTGCCATTCAGTGCAAGGGACACAGCAGGCTATACCTGTTGTACACATCTACAGTGTACTGACTTGGCAGGTACTGCACAGAATATCTATTTGACCTCTACAGAAAAAAAGCAGATCTGGAAAGCCAGGGAAGGATTCTGGACTCTTTGATGGAGAACGCAAAATACTGCTAAATACTTGGTATTGTACAGCAGGTGTGATGGGTATTGCAGATGAGCACAGACCGGGTTGACAGAGCTCTGCTGCAGGTCTGGAGTCCAGATTTCCGGGATCGAGGTCTCCATCAACTGCAAAACCTCTTCCAGGATTTGCTGCAGTGCCCCAGCTTGCTCATCATAACCAAACAGCACAAGCTGCCGCAGAAGGATGTGTATGTCTCCTGCAGGAGGGAACAGAAGCACAAACAATAGCAATTAACACAGGTATGCTAAATAAATTTCTCTGGTACCAGGGCATAGGAAGGGGAGCAGCAAATCAGAATTGGTTCTGTCCCTACCCAGCCCCTAAAG